CTCTCCCTCTCCTCCCTCCCTCGTCTTCTCTCCCCTCCCTCCTCCCTCCTCCCTCCACAACTACTCAATATGAATACTACTTTCCCTCTTCCCCTGATGACGGTTTGAAAGTGGCCGACCCCCCCCCGGCGTACTGTTTTTTTACACAGGTTTCCCGGAGTTGGGTTTTCGCCGGCATTTTTTTCAAAATGCTGCTCTCGCTGAGGCGCCGGCCTCATTTTCGGGCCCCGCTCGTTCCGAATCGTGCTCCCGCTGCAGCGCTGGCCTCATTTCCGTGCTTCCGCTCGTTCCGAATCGTACTCCCGCTGCAGCGCTGGCCTCATGTCCGCGCTTCCGCTCGTTTCGACTCGTGCTCCCGCTGCAGCGCTGGCGTCATTTCCCGTGCGATGCCACGGCATGCAATGCAATGCTAGGTTGATACTACGCTTTGCGGTGCTCTTCTACGCCATGCCATGCCGTGCTCTACAATGCATCGCGTGCCCTTTCGGAATCATTGCCCTGCTCGACATCCGACTCAGCGAGTAGAGAGGGGATCTGCGCCATGGTAAGGGATGGGAGGAGGGGGTGGATGTCAGATATGACGCGAGCGCACCTAGCTTGTCCTTCTCCCCCTCCTCCTCCTCCTCCTCCTCCTCCTCCTCCTCCTCCGCCTCCTCTTCCTCCTCCTCCTCCTCCTCCTCCTCCTCCTCCTCCTCCTCCTCCTACTCCTCCTCCCTTCCTCCTCCTCGTCCTCGTCGTCCTCCTCCTCCTTCCTCCTCCTCCTCCTCCTCCTCCTCCTCCTCCTCCGCCTCCTCCTCCTCCTCCTCCTCCTCCCCCTCCCCCTCCCCCTCCCCCTCCTCTCCTCCTCCTCCTCCTCTCCTCCTCCTCCTCCTCCTCCTCCTGCTCCTGCTCCTCCTCATCTCCGCTGCGCCTCCGCCTCCGCCTCTCCTCCGCCTCCGACTTCTCCTCCTCCTCCTCCTCCTCCTCCTCCTCCTCCTCCTCCTCCTCCTCCTCCTCCTCCTCCTTCCTCCCCCTCCCTCTCTCCTCCTTCGTCTCCTCCTCCCTCCTCCCCTCCCTCCTCCTCCTCCCTCCTCCTCCTCCCTCATCCCTCCTCCCTCCTCCCTCCTCCCTCCTCCTTCCTCGCTCCTCCCTCCTCCTCCTTCTCCTCCTCCTCCTCCTCCTCCTCCTTCTCCTCCTCCTCCTCGCCTCCCTCCCTCCTCCTCCTCCTCTCCTCCTCCTCCGCCTCCTCCTCCCCTCCTCCTCCTCCCCCTCCTCCTGCTCCTCCTCCTACTCCTCCTCCTCCCTCTCCTCCCTCTCCCTTTTTCTCTCCCTCTCCTCCCTCCCTCCCTCTTCCTCCCTCCCTCCCTCCCTCTCTCCCTCTCTCCCGCCTCCTCCTCGACCACCGGGCGCCTCGGCGGGCGGGCCTCCCTGCCGGCCAGGCCGTCGTCGTAGCCCTGCTGGTAGGCCTCCCGCAGGGCCTCTGCGTAGGCCTCCTGGTGGCCCGAGGCCGGCTGCGCGTGCCCACCGCCGCGCGGCAGCAGCGACTGCCCGAGGGCCAGGGCCGCCACGGCCGCGAGGCCTGGCGAGGGTCGGTCAAGGTCACTGCACCGGCCTTGCAGGCGTGCGGCAGCGGATTTCTGCGTGGATGTTTGCCCGAACCGGCGAGCGAAAAATGGAGTGAGTTTCGCGTGGATTCTGTTGTTCGTCTTCAGTCCTGGCCCCAAAAACAATCCGCACGAAAGTCACTTCGAAATCCGGAGCGGAATTCTCCAAGACTCTCTGGGCCCATCCGATCGTTTTCCGAACGAAATCCGCTCTGCAATGTCGGCGCCATGATATAGGTGTCCGTGGTCCAAGGTACCCCCATCTTTTCGCGCAGTTCTGGCGTCCCTTGTGCTCTTGGAAATGCTGGGGGGCAGCCTGGGCCGGGGGCGCTTCTGGCAACACCCAGGGGGGGATGGGAGGGAGGGCGGAAGGAAGAAGAGGAGGAAGCGGAGGAAAGGAAGGAGGAGCATGAGATAATGGTGGTGATGATGATGATGATTGTGGTGATGATGATGGAGGTGGTGTTGATGGTGATGATGATGATGATGCTGATGATGCTGATGATGGTGATGATGATGTTGATGATGGCGATGGTAATGATGCTGTTGTTGACGATGATGATAATGTTGATGATGATGGTGGTGATTGTTGTGAGTGTGGTGTTGATGGTGGTCATGGTGATGGTGATGGTGGTAATGATGATGATGATGATGATGATGATGATGGTGGTGTTGATGATGATTTTGATGCTGATAATGTTGATGATGATGATGATGATGATGATGATGATGATGATGGTGGTGCTGACGCTATTGCTGCTGATGCTGCAGATGAGGATGATGCTGATGATGATGATGCAGGTGATGATGGTGATGGTGATGGTGGTAATGATGTTGATGTTGATGATGGTTTTGATGGTGAGGCCGCGACTGATGATCATGTGGCTGATGGTGATGCTGATGATTTATCACGGTGATGATGTTGATGATGATGATGCTACAGATGCTTGTGATTCATATGGTGATGATGATGATAACGATGATGGCGACGATGATGATGGTGATATTGATACTTCTGATGATGATGATGATGATGATGACGATGATGATGATGATGATGATGATGACGATGATGATGATGATGATGATGATGATGGCGACGATGCCCATGGTGTTGTTGATGATGATGACGACGATGATGCTGCTGATGATGATGCTAATGAGGATGTTCATGATTGTCGTCTGCGATGCCTGGCGAGAACCCAAGGCCTGATTGAATCAATGATGGCGACGGCGATGCTTCGGACATTATTTCGGAACTGTCCGGCCACTGTTTGGAGATTCCCCCAGAGATGCTCCGGACATGTTTCACCCCGAAGGCCCCAGTCGCTTTTTTGCCATCTTGGCCCAGTCTACACGTCGGTCGGAAGAAGTAGGTAGAAACATGAAGTAGGAAGACGGATATGGTGGATTGGGTCCAAGGTCTCCCAGAGAATGACAAAACACAGCAAAAGCATGTCGATTATTGAAGTAGGAAGGCGCTTGAAGTAGATTGGGATCTGGGAATCCAAAAATACCTACTTTCAACGACCAGCGAGTAACTCAAGACGAGGACAAGGTGGGGGCAACATCCAGCAGGGACAATAACCGCGAGCGGCGAGCGTGCCCCGATCGGCGCCCTCACGGCCTGGACCCCTCACCGCGATCCCGCGGATGCTGCGTCGCACGGATGCGCACCGCGCGGGCATCCGCGAAGAGATCGCCTCGCATCCGCGGGGTCGCGGCCCCGGGTGCCCGCCGCCACCTCCTCCTCCTCCTCCTCCTCCTCCTCCCCTTCCTCCTCCTCCTCCTCGTCCTCCTCCTCCTCCTCCTCCCCTTCCTCCTCCTCCTCCTCGTCCTCCGCCGCCTCCTCCTCCGCCACGTCTTCATTTACCTCTGACGTCTTATCATCTACCCCGTCACCCTCGAGGGCCGAGGTATCCAGGGTCGGCGGCACTGGCCGTAAGGCCTTAGCATCGCATCGCATCCGCGGGGTCGCGGCCCCGGGGGCACGCCGCCAGTCCGCGGATGCGGACCTGCCTCTTCCGCCCACGAGAAAGGTCGGCGATCCCCGAGCGGCTCTGGAAGGAAGGGCAGCGGGCGCGCCGCGGCCTGCCAACAGTTCTCAGGCAAAAAATCGTCCCCCGGACTATTGTTGGACCATGTTGTAATATTCCTCCTGTGGGGGGGACATGCCCGACTGAATCCGAGCCTTCTGTTGCTTCCATCGTACTGAGGGACCACATCCCAAACTCTAATGTCGGGCACCTGGAAAGACATCGAAACAGTGTCGAACGAGTATCTGCCAGGGCCCGACCCGAGAAAACCCTCGAGTTTTGGTACATTCTTGGTGCTCGAAATTCTTTCTGGCGCTTCAGGCTTAAATAGTTAGGTTGGAACATCATCATCCTGGCCAGCCGGGCGTGTCCCCCTACAGGGGGATTTTCGACGAAAAATAAAGAAATATCCCACAAATATTCCAAAATTGTCAAAATGCTCAGAAAATAGTCCCCATACTCTTTTTTTTACAATTTTTGAATATTACTCTTGTGGAGGGACAGGCCCGACTTAATCCTGGCCCTACCAGAGCGCTTCTCTCTATGCCCACCCCTGGCGCAGCTATAGGGCCGAGCGAGGGACTGCCCCGCGCCGGGGGCCAGGGCGGCGCCGCGGCGCATCGCGTACAGATCCCGCGGAGGTCCCGGACCGAGCCTGAACGACTAGGAGTAGGTCTAAGTCGGGCCTGTCCCGCTACAGGGGGATTTTGGAAGAAAAAAATAAAAATACTCAATACATACCCGACACATGCTCAAACATACCCAAGAAATAGTACCCAGACAATTTTTTGACTATTTTTGAACATCCCCCCTGTAGAGGGACAGGCCCGACGTAAGAGTAGGTCGGGCATGTCGTCCTACCGGCGCAATTTCCGGGAAGAAACAGCACTTGCAAAACAGATGCCAAAAGATATGCAAACAACTGTCAAAAACATATATGTCAACAGTAGATCCACAAGATATGCAAAAGATATGCCAACAACCGTCAAAACAGAACATGTGCCAAGGGATATGCCAACAACTGTCAAAAACAACAGCCATGAACCAAATGCAAGCATAGATTCCACAACTGCCCCCAAAAAGATCTGCAAAAAACGCGTCGCGCCGTCGCCCCCGCCCGCCGAGGCCCCCCCCTCGGGCCCGGCGCGCCGGGCCCTCCGAGGAGCCGGCGACCGCTTGTCGAGGCGAGAGGCGGGGGCTTCTCCCTGTCCGCCGCCGGGGGGGCCGACGCCCTGGCGCCCCAGAGGGCGGTGGACAAGAGGAGGAGGAGGAGGAGGACGAGGAGGAGGAGGAGGAGGAGGAGGAGGAGCAGGAGGAGGGCGGTGGACACGGATCTGCTTTTGCCCCCCGGGGGCCCGAATAGAAGCCCCCCGTTTTCGAGGGGGGGGGGTCGAACCGGTAGTGACCCCCCCCCGGTCTTCGAGGGGGGGGGGCTTCGAACCGGTAGTGACCCCCCCCCTCTTTTCATGATGGACTGGGGGGGGGGAGGGGTTCGAACCGGCAGTGACCCCCCCGGTTTTCCGCCAGCAGCGGTAGAACCGCTCCTTCGAATATCCAGATCCAGATCCACCGCCTGCCGAGGTCCCCGAGAGGATGGATCTCCCAGCGAGGCTCACGCTTTCAGATGCCCGCGCCGGACTCTGCCGCCCCTCCGCCCCTCCCTCCTCCTTCGGGTGCCCAGGTGGCCGCAGGGCCGGGCGCCTCCTGGACCCCCCCGCCTGGGGACGCGCGGGTCCAGCACCCAGGGGGGGGTGGGGGGGGGGAGCGCCGGCGGCGGCGCGCGCCCGTGCCCGCACTGAAGGACACGGGCGGCGAAGCCTTCGGACGGGACGGATTGCTTGGTTTTTCGCTCCGGGGGGGGGGGGGGGGGCAGGGGAAGTGGCCGGTGCCGCGCCTCGTCCTGGAGGGCCCTCGTCGCCATGGCTGGGCTATCCTCGAGTCTCTGGTCAGAGTGCACCTCCGAAACCATACGGGGAGGGGAGTAGCTTAAGTCGGGCCTGTCCCCCTACAGGGAGAAAAAATTAAAAAATAGCACGTTTTCAAGAATTGTCAAACAATAGTAGAAAGATCGCCCCCATACATTTTTAATGATTTTTGAATATTCCTCGTTCTCCTCCCCTACGTACCCCCGGCACGCGTTTGGCGCGTCCGCCATTTCGCGCATGCATTTGGCATGGTCTGTCACTCGCTCCACACGTTTGGCGTGTCCTGTCGCTCGCTTCAAGCGTTCGGCGTGTACTGTCACTCACTCAACGCGCTTGGCGTGTTCTGTCACTCGCTCCACGCGTTTGGCGTGCTCTGTCACTCGCTCCACGCGTGTGGCGTGTCCGTCTTCCTCTGCCGAGGCGCCGTGCCATAGGCTGGCGCATGGCTTCTGTGTGTCAGAGGGACAGGCCCGACTTGCGAGTAGCTGTAACAGCAGCTGCTTGCTCCCCTCAGTCCAGGCGATCTTCCCTCTGTTCTGGTAATGCGGAGCTCTTGTTCGGGCCCGGGGACAAACCATATAACGTATCCGTGTCCACACCATTGCCCCCGAGGGAAGGGGTCGAGACCAATGGAGCACGCGGATAGAAAAATCACATGGTCGGATGTCTGGCGTCGTGCGAGAATCAGCACAGTGCGTCTCACCCTCTCCCCCTCTCCCCCATCCCTCCCTTCTCGTCGCCAAACCCGTGGTGTTGTTGATGATGCTGCTTCTCGCCCGTTCGGTGTCGGCACGCTCGGCATGTATTCCAACACCATTGGCGGCCGCTGTTTGGCAGGCGACGTTCTTTCGAATAGACAGGAAATCCGCGGCAGCACTGGCAGCGAATTCCAATCTGGCGGGAACCGCTGTCGGATTCCGTCCCCATTGTCTCCGTCCCCATAATGCTGCTGCTCGTGGGGATACAGGGGGAGGAGGAGGAGGAGGAGGAGGAGGACGAGCAGGAGGAGGAGGAGGAGAAGGAGGGGAAGAGGGGTGGGGGGAGGAGGGGAGGAGGAGGAGGCGGATGGGGGGGAGGTGATGCAAGGAACCAGAAAAAAATACCTGTTGCACCCTGAGCCCCCCTCCGAAGTCCTCCTCATCATGATCCTCGTCCTCCTGCTCCGCTTCTGCGTCCTCTCCCGCCTCTCCTCCTCCTCCTCCTCCTCCTCCTCCTCTGCTGCTGCTCCTCCTCCTCCTCCTCCTCCTCCTCCTCCTGCTCCTCCTTCTCCTAATCCTCCTCACCAACACCACCACCATCACCATCATCGGCATCATCACCACCACCACAACCATCATAATCCGCCACCTCCACCACCCACCACCACCACCACCACCACCACCACCACCACCACCACGATCCACCACCACCACCACCACCACTACCACCACCACCACCAACACCACCACTACCACCACCACCACCACCATCATCATCATCATCATCATCGTCATCATCACCATCATCATCATCATCATCATCATCATTACCATCATCATCAGCATCAGCATCATCATAATCATCATCACCCCCACCATCATCATAATCCGCATCATCAGTATAATGAGCATCAGCATCATCGACATCATCAACATCATCATCATCATCAGAGGCAGCAACATCATCACCAGCATCATCAGAATCATCATCACGCATCATCACCATCATCATAAACATCGTCGTCATCATCGCCAGCACCATCAGCATCAACAGCATCATCATCATCCTACTCCTCCTCATCATCATTAGCATCATCAGAGGCAACAGCACCATCATGTAGCCGTCATCGTCATCGTCGCCAGTAGCAGCATCAGCATCATAAACAGCATCGGTATCAGCATCAGCAATACCATCGTGATCAGCATCATCCTTACCCAGCATCCCCATCACTATCGTCATCGTCATCGTAATCATCATCGTCATCGGCTTCAGTATCACGACTACCATCATCATCATCATCATCGTCATCGTCATCAGAAGCAGCAGCAGCATCAGCATCAGCACCAGCATCATCAACATCAAAGTCAGCATCATCATCACCATCATCAACATCATCGTCATCGTCATCACCATCACCATCATCAACACCATCCTCATCAACATCATCAACATCATCATAAACAAATCACCATCATCAACATCCCTCTCCTCCTCCGCTTCCCCCTTATACCTCTTCTCATCCTCCAACTGCTCCTCCTCCTCCTCCTTCTCCTCCTCCTCCTCCCGTGTCGATCCTGTCAAACTCATCAAGCCATACGGAACACCCGGGGTTATTATTAGCACCGCGCTGTAATTAAATAATTATGGGGGGCGGTTTTCGCCGAACGATAAGATTAGCATCGCGCAAGTGAAACGAACATAAATAATTCCCGCGCCCCGTCTCGGGTGGCATCCCAATTGGAATTGGAATCTTAATGGGAATAAGACAGAAATGCGATTAATAATAAGAAGAAGAAGAACAATAATATCAATGAGGATAAGGGTAAGAGTAGGAGTAATACAAATAAAATGAAGCATCAGAGTAATAATACGAGTAATACTAATAATAATACTAGTACGAACAATAATAATAATAATAATCGGAATAAGAATGATGATAATAAGAAAGAGTAAAAAAAATTAAGCATCATAATACAAGCTTTGTTTCTCAGTATCTTCATAATCCCTGTCCTATGCGACTTATATTAACACTCCTGTTGATGTTTGTTCCCCAGCCGTCGTGTGGGGTAGTGCATCCGAGGATATCGCCCCCGCCACGCACTGCGCGTTATCTTAGCACCGCACCCGCACAACAATAATTACGACAGTTTGCCCAACAAGACAAGAAGTACAATAAGACCAATAATAAGATCCAAAAAACACATAAGAATGAGACGAATCATACAAATAATAACAATACGAATAAGAGTAAGGATCATAATAAGAATCGAACCGAAAACGGACGGGCTCTCCTGCTTCTTTCCTCCCTCCTTTTCCTATTTTCTTCATCATCCTTGTCCTGTGCGATTCGTATTGCCACCCGTACTGAAAAATTGTTGTTTCCCGGCCGTCGTGCGGGGGAGTGCATCCGAGGATATCGCCCCCGCCACGCACGGCGCGTCATCTTACCACCCGCACCGCCCCGCCCATCGCAGGCACGGACGGTTCCTTTTCAAAGCTGGGCTCTCCCTTGCTGGGGCGCCCCTGCTCGGAAGGCCGAGCGCTGGGAAGACGCGCGGCCACTCCAGTTCTCGCCCAGACCGACCACCTGACGCAGACTCGTCTGCGTCCAGAGCAGTTTCTGAGGATGTCTCAGGCGAGGCGCTTGTTTCAGAACCACGAGGACACCATATTGCGAGATTGTCTCAGGCGGTTTGCTTGTTTCGGCGAGCTGACTCGTCTGCGTTCTCACATCACTAGATGTGCGAGGTGCCAGGGTAACGCTTCTGGGGTGCCGGGTGCGTTATACTTTCGCTGGAGATGGGAGGGGTCTTAATTGCCGGATGAGGTAATCCTTGCGCAACAATATACTCACAGGTGAAGGCCACGGTGGCGATCCTCCCCCTTCTCCTCCTCCTCCACCTCCGCCGTTTCCTCGTCCTTCTCCTTCCCTCCTTCCCCCTCCCCTCGGCACCCCCCCTTTCCGCGTCTTCTCTGCCCGCCCCCCCCCCCCCGTGACGTCTGCGAGACCGCCGGGACAGGCTCGCAACGCGCGCTCGTGCCGCCGTGCAGAGACCATGCTCGCGATGCCGTGCGCCAGAGGCCCCCGATCGCCAGGGGCGGGCCGCTGGGGAGCCCTGCCGCTGCTGCTGCTGCTCACGGCAGGCAGCGGGCGCCGCGGTGTCCGATGGGCGTCGTGGCGTCGTGGCGCCGGGGCGTCGTCGTGGTGCCACGGCGCCGTGGTGACGCGGCGTCGTGGTGTCACGGCGTCGTGGTGCCGCGGCGTCGTGGTGTCGTGGTGTCTCGGCGTCGTGGTGGCGCGGTGGCGTGGTGCCCCGATGTCATATTATCTTGATGCCGTGGCGTCGTGGCGTCGTGGTGTCGTCGGGTCGCGGTGTCGCGGAGGCGTGGCGTCGTGGTGTCCTGGTGGCGTGGTGTCGTGGTGTCGGGGTGGCGTGGTATCTCGGTGCCGCGGCGTCATGTGACGCGGCGTGGTGGTTTCGTGGTGGTGTGGTGTCACGGCGTCGTGGTGTCGTGGTGGCGTGGTGTCTCGGCGTCGTGGTGGCGTCGTGGTGGCGTAGCGCCCTGCAGTCATGGTATCTTGATGCCATGGCGTCGTGGCGTCGTGGTGTCGTGTGGTCGCGGTGTCGCGGTGGCGTGGCGTCTTCGTGTCCTGTTGTCGTGGTATCGTGGTGTCGGGGTGGCGTGGTATCGTGGTGCCGCGGCATCGTGGTGACGCGGCGTCGTGGCGCCTTGGGCCGTGGTGTCGTTGTGTAGCAGCGACGTGGTGTCACGGCGTCTCAGTGTCAAAACCACGGCGCCATGGCATCGCAATGTCGTCGGGTCGTGGTGTGGCGGGGGACTCGGTTCAAGACGTGATGCCCTGAGCGGAACGGTTTCGGCTGCGGAACATTGATGGCGACGCGGAGGGGGAGAACGAGGGGACAGGGCGTCCATGTTCGTCGTATTATGTACGATCTTCTGGTGCTCAGTTTGTCATTCCAGGGAGCCACTGGCACAGACATTATTGACGCCATTTACCCCTTTTACGGGGGACGGGACCGATGCGCACCACATGCCCCCAGTAAGGTCTGCTGGCACGGTAGACACGCACGATCAGACATCTGCTCTACTGAATCTCAGGAGTAAGTTTTGAGGTGCCCAAGAGCTTCTCTGGGCCTGGGAATATTTCCGCAGGGCACCTGCTGACAAGCCAAATTCTTGATTAATTTGCCGACTGCATGCTCGTCGAGACCTCAGGCTGCTATGCGCAAAGAAGACAAATCAAAGAGCGCTCCGTTAGGACCGGGGGCATGCGCAGCGGGCCATGCGCATGCGAACAACAGTGGAAGCAGAACGGCACCCTGCCACCCCCTTCAGCAAAGATGTCGAAATAAAACATCCACGCCTACGACCATATACGGAGAGATCGGTCGTCTCAACGTAGCGCTGGCCCTTGCCGCAGCCTTCGCCGACATTGCCTGGCCCTGCGAAGTCGCCACTCCGGCATATGCGCAGAGGAAGAAAAAACAGCATACGCACAAACATTTGGGGCTCCGCGCGGTTTCTGGGGATATGCGCTGGGCCCCCTCCCTAGCGCGCGGACTGCGACAGGGGCGGCGCCGGAGGCGCCGCCAGGCCGCCAGGGAAGCCCCAGCGCCGACCCAAGAAATCCTCGCGGTGCTCTGAAAGGTTATGTGTATGCAGTTTTGTTCCCCTCGAATGCCACCATGCCCGCCAGCGCGATGGCCATCTTGGGCACGAAGCGGCCCAGCACATAGAGCGCCCCGAAGCAGGCGACCAGCGCACCGCCTGCCGCTTGGAGGGCCGACACGCCGGGCGGCAACCTTATGCCCATGCGCGCCAGAGCCTGCTCCGCCGCGGCCGCCACGTCGGCGCTGCTCGGCATCTGTGGCATGCCGCCTCCGCCCGGCATTCCACCTTCGAGGGCCCCTTCAACCGATGCTAGCTCGCACCCTCCCCCCATGGCTGGCCTCCTCCTATCCTCTCCCCTCCCCTGACCCCTCCTGTCTGGGGGAGCACAAACCATATCCATGACACGCCGCGGGGAGCACATCAGCGTGTTTCTTCTGTTGAACTGCCCAGAGATCCGAGGTCGGGATGTTTTCAATACGGGGTCACCGGAAGTCTCGACCCATTCCCCAGGACGGGTTTCTCATCCTGAATAGTTGTTCAACGTCCTGGGGCCCGGCGAGGGCCCCTCGAGGCCGACAATTGTGAGACACCCCCATCCTGATTCTATCAAGGCGTTGGACCTCTGGGAGCAACCAGGTCTTCGGAGACACACTGAGGAATAACACGCTGAAGGTCTCGCAGCGGCGGCGTGTCATTGATACTCGGTCTCCTCTCCGGCTTTTTGAAGGGGCGTTCAAACAGAGCTAGGATCGGGATGAATCGCTCCAGAGCGTTCCGGAGCGCTCTCAGAGCGTTCCAGAACGCTCTGGAGCGGCCGCGGCGCCCAATACATCCTCCAAACCCGCCGATTCTCAGAGATTTCGAGTTATCCCGATCTGATTTTGTCCCGATCTTCGCGTCGTTCTAGGCGTGTGCGTGTGCGCGCTCCACGCCTGCTCTTCCGTGCCCCCCCCCCTCCCCTCCCCGCACGCTCCTGCTGCCGGCCCTGCGTGGCGGCGGAGCGCGTGGACGCACGCGGTCCTCCGACGCTGCGCCTTGCACTTGCCTGCGACGCGCCCCCCCCCCTAAAACGACGCGAAGATCGGGACAAAATCGGATCGGGATAAATCGAAATCTCTGAGAATCGGCAGGTTTGGAGGATGTATTGGGCGCCGCGGCCGCTCCAGAGCGTTCCGGAACGCTCTGAGAACGCTCCGGAACGCTCTGGAGCGATATATCCCGATCCTGGCCCTGTTTTACCCCCTCCCTATGGACCCCCCCCCATGGACACCCCGCAGGAGAGCCCAGAATCGAATCGGGAAGTCGAATCGGCGATCGAAATGAATCGGATCGGCGGAAAAATCGGCAGCCAAGTCGGAAGGAATCGGACCGGCTGAGATCGGCAGGCTTGTGCGCATCCAGTGAGAAATCGGAACCCACATCGGAATCCCAAGCCGAATCGAATCGGAATCGGAATCCGTCGAAATCGAATCGCATCGAATCGGGGCAATCGACATGCGCCCTGGCCCCGACGCGGCTGGTCGTCCCGGACCGTCTTTGTTCTCAGCCCCCCGGGGCCGACAGCGGGCCTCCGGAGGCCCGCATTGGCGAATGGGCGGCCACTCGGACAATTGGGGGGCCGGCGGATGGTTGAGATTGGCGCCCGTCCGCATGTTCCTACCCCTGGCCCGTCAGGAGATCAGCATCAACATGCTCGACTCCAGACGCGCAGTACGTGGGGTGGAAACCACGACGCGGTGAACTACGTGTTGCCAGCTACGTCGTGCAACTCATGTGGAGCACGCTAGGCGCCACAATCTGTGTGGTGCACGTTGTGTGGTGCGAGCTACGTGGGATGATTAATCCTGTTGTGAGCAATGGGTTGCCAACTCACCCGCCCGCACAAGCATGCCACCCTCCCACCCGCAACTTGTCATGCAACACCCATGCGGCCACGATTGCGGATGTGCTTGGCATTGGCTGGCGCATCTCTGCGGACGCGACGGCGCCTCAGAGAGGCCAGCTGGCTTGACAGACCTGATGCGGCCGCGATGGCGCTTGCCAGTGGGAACTGCCCAGCGCGTCTACGTGGCCGCGCTGGCGCGCGGGCACTGCAGTGCGGGTCGGTGACTCGGGCGGGCCGGTGTCATGATGGCGTTGACAACGACAGCAACGATCATGTGGCGACGGCGGTTGCGATGACGATAACGACGGCAAGGCCAATGACAACGGCGATGCTGGTGATAACGATGACGATCTTGATGCCCATGTGGCGGTAATGAAGGTGATTGACTGATAGGAATGGCAAAGGCGGCGATTGACGATGACGATAACGGCGGTGATGTCATGGTGCTTGTGAAGGTGATGGTAAGGAAGAGCGCGCGCGCAAGAATTAAACAAGTATGGTAGACGTTTTGTTCACAAGCACGTGTTGTTCCATATGAGTTTGACGAGCTCGATCTTGAGATGCGTTAAGAAAAGATGATTTCGGAAAGATTTCGACACGCGTCCGTGGCCATGGGCCGATCACTGGGCGCATGCCGGAGAAACGCGGATGCACCACAAACTCAGATAATAATGCGGGGCCTGGACGAGATTCCTAAAACCAGATGGTGTCCCTACGAATTCAACAAATGCGCGCGGGCGATAGATTTGCAACATGTCAAATGGAAAGCCGAATGTTGCTTGGCGTTTGTTTTATGTTGAGACGCTTGCAGAAAAACTGTGTTTGGTATGGTGACCGCATGGGCAGGCCCGCGTGTTGACTCCGTGCTATTTTCTGCAATTTAAGACACGAGGGAGGGGGGGTCGATACCTACTGCTTGCGCCAGGATGGTACGAATTCCTGTGCAAAATGGACGAGGAAGCATAATCACATGTAAATTGCTGTGCCCAGGGAGGGGCTCGATGAGTCCGGGCTGGGGAGGGGTGTGGATCCAATTATGTTGAGCACGGACCGACCGTCCCGGCATTCCTATCTATACGACCACCCTTCGGGTGATAAGGAGGTTCGGGGGAAGGAGGAACCAACGTCTCACTCGATCGGTATCACTATCGATCTCACTATCGATCTCACTATCGGTCTCGCTCGATAAATCTCCCTCGATCGATCTCACAATCGATCTCACAATCGATATCACTCGATCTATCTCACACTCGATCTCACTCGATCATCATCATCATCATCATCATCATCATCATCATCATCATCATCATCATCATCATCATCATCATCATCATCATCATCATCATCATCATCATCATCATCATCATCATCATCATCATCATCATCATCATCATCATCATCATCATCATCATCATCATCATCATCATCATCATCATCAGCATCATCATCATCATCATCATCATCATCATCATCATCATCATCATCATCATCATCATCATCATCATCATCATCATCATCATCATCATCATCATCATCATCATCATCATCATCATCATCATCATCATCATCATCATCATCATCATCATCATCATCATCATCATCATCATCATCATCATCATCATCATCATCATCATCATCATCATCATCATCATCATCATCATCATCATCATCATTATCATCGCGGGACACCGCGGGACACCGGCGGGACACCGCGGGGCACCGCGGGACACCGCGGGACACCGCGGGACACCGGCGGGACACCGCGGGCCACTGGCCGCCCGGAAGGTAGACATTTGGTGCGGCCGCGCCTCAGCCACACGGGACACCAGCGGGACACCGGCGGGACACCGCGGGCCACCGGCCGCCCGGAAGGGAGACATTTGGTCCGGCCGCGCCTCAGCCACAGGAGACTTTCTTCTCGCCCGCCCACGCAGCTTCGCCTCGCCCGCACGCACGGCACGCACGAACACGAAACCGAAATCGATTTCCCGGTAGGGGGGCTCTCCGTTCCACTTCGATCTCACCCCCTCACCTCCGATAGTCATACCACGAAACGTTCTTAGAGCCCAAATATGTTCTAAGAATAAAAACAATGTTCTTAGAACAGAATCCCGATGTGTTAAAACAAGACGGACTCCGCCAGACATGTTCTAAGAACATTCCGTGGGAACCACGAGAGGTTCTTAGAACACTGCTCGGTGGAGCTATGGGCGAGCCAGGACACCTCGCCACTGCTCGATTATGGTTGCAAAGGAGCATCTGCAGCGGACCCCGCAGGGGGCGCCCCCAGGCGCCCACCCGGCGAAACCTCGGCGGACCCCTAGAGGCCTCCTAGATGGGGTCGGAGTAGATGTGGTCGGAGGATCGCGCCGTATCGCCGATGTATCGGCGATGTATCGGCGATGCATCGGCGATGCACTGGCAATGTCGGTGATGCACTGGCGACGTCGGCGCGGAGAAAATCGGGCTCCACATCGAGCCGCATCGCCGATGCATCGTCGATGCGGCGCGATCCTCCGACCCCATCTACTCCGACCCCATCTAGGAGGCCTAGAACCCCGCAGGAGCACGGGGCGCCCACGAGGCGCCCCGCGGCCGCCCACCGGGCGGAACCTCGGCAGACGTCGCCGGCGCCTCGTGGGCGCCCACGGGGCGCCCACGAGGCGCCCACCGGGCGGAACCTCGGCGGGCCCATCGCGGAGCCCCCGCCGCGTGGGCTGCCCACCGGGCGGGACCTCGGCGCAGCCATCTGCACCCTGCGAAATGCTATAGAAATCATGGGTTAAGAAATTCATAGCCTCAGAACTTGAATAAAAAAACCCAAATACCGGTTAAAAGTTTAGGATTGACGTTGAAGCAATAAGAATAATCGAGACTCTGGCCGAAACCTTACGTTTTCTTAAGCATCGCCTAGGATGTACAGTTACTTCTCGTCACCCTGAAAGGTGAACCCCTACATTAAAAAAACGCTGTTCGGGTGCTCTGCAGAGGTCCGCGCGGACTGCCTGTGCCTGCGCTGGGCCCCCGCCCCCTGCCGCGCCACGAGCGCCGCCGACGGGGCTCCAGCGCCGACCCAAGAGATCCGCGCGGGCCTCCGGCAGTCTGTTGTCTGTTCGGCGGCTAAGCGGCTGGGCAGAGCAACTGCGGTGGCGGAGGAGCAAGCACGGCAGGGATGCCGCGGAAGCGAACTGAGCCACCGAGCAGGAACACACGGCTTCGTCCGCAGGCATCGGTGGCACCAGCAAGGGAGTGGCCGGGAGCCCTGGCATGTCGCTCGGCGGGCGCCCGCGGGGTGCTCCTGGGCGCCTCGCGTCTGAAGGGGCCCTGGGACACACAAATAAATGAGATACGCACAAGGAACAGGATTCCCCATATTTTGCCATATCTCCTGGGTTTTTGTCTTCCCCCCCACTGCCCCTAGTTCTCCATATGTTCTGGGGAATCGACGATGAAGTGTGCCTGTGTGTTTTTTTCCCTCCTGGGTGTTCGCTCCGAGCTCCGGACTTCATCGGCTGGCGGGCGCTCTAGGACTGCACGCCGCTCCACCGCCCACGTCTGCCAGCCGTCTCCGACCTCCTGCCCCCCCCCCGCGCGCTGGCTCGGGCCTCTCCCCTCTCCTCTTCGCCCTCCCTCCCTCCTCCCTCCTCTCTCCCCCATCCTCCCTCCTCGCTCTTCCCTGCTCCCTCCTCCCTCCTCCCCCCTCCATCCTCCTCCGTCCTCTTTCCCCTCCTCCCTCCTCCCTCCTCCCTCCTCCCTCCTCCTCCTCCTCCTCCTCCTCCTCCTCCTCCTCCTCCTGCCTCCCTCCTCCCTCCTCCCTCCCCCCTCCCTTCCTCCTCCCTCCTCCCTCCTCCCTCCTCCTCCCTCCTTTTCCTGGCCAACGTTCCCCCATGACCCCCTCTCTCCGAATCCGTCTCCCCGCCAGCACCATGGGCCCTCGCGGATGGGTGTGAGCGGAGTGGTGCCCTACAGGCGTGAGCGTCTGCGAAGAGGCGCACTGCAAAACAACAAAAACAAACAAATAAACAAAGAAACGGACACATACAAACAAACACAAACACAAACACAAACACAAACACAAACACAAGCAAAACAAACACAAAAGCAAAAACTAACAAACAAACAAACAAACACATAAAACCATCATGCGAGACGGGCGGGCAGGGACATTGCCCCCCCCTCCAGAGCGCGGCCAGACTGCCCCCCTTGCGTGACCGTCTGAGTCCGTGACGACCCCATTGATCACCCATGTGGTGTGGGCAGTGGCCCCGAGAGGGGCTCTGGCGGGTGAGCACACGGGGTCGGTTTGCAAGGGAGGTGCCCACCAGGACGCCAGAAACACGCACGGCTGCACTCCTTCGCGCGCGGTCCACGCGGAGGGCACGCGCCAACACATGCACGCGCGAGGGTGCGGGCATACCCGATGACAGAACGAGCGCTCTCGTCCAGGGCTCTCGTGCGCACCCGGCTCTCGCCCTGGCTGGCCACGTCATGGGTTGGATACTCATTCTGGGGACCTTTCTGGAGGCACTCGCTCCACTCATGCGTCAATGCTGCACCGCGGGCCCGTCGACTTGAGTCGGGCCTGGGGCGAGCTAACCGGACCACCCAGAATCGCACTGGAATCGATCGTTTGGGTGGGGGCCCCAGGAAGGCCCCCAAAACGAGCATCTAGCCTGCGCGTCCAGTTCCCTAGCAGGACGCCCCTGTGGCCGTCCACCTCCGAAGCCCGGCATGCCGCCCCCGAAGCCGGGCATGCCCCCGCCGCCGAAGCCGCCGCCACCGCCTGGCACGCCACCGCCGCCGCCTGGCGCGGGGATGCCCAGGTTCGCCTGCTTCAGCGCCACCTCCGCCCCGGAGTCCAGCCGCACGGTCACGCGGTCGTTCCCCGCCGGCCCGACCTGAACATGATCTTGATGATGATGGTGATGGTGATGATGGCGATGATGGTGGTGGTGGCGATGCTGGTAGCCGGTGATGGCGGTGACGAAGAAATGATAATATGATGAGGGGGCGCACACTGGGGCGGAGCTCCCCGACAGCACACCGTGACTCCAAAATTCTACAACACCACGCTCCCAGAGCTCTGTCTTCACACCCGACGGAGGGGCCAACCCTGGACTCCTGGAGAAGGGAACTCTGTGAGAAGAGCGTAGCAAGAAAGGGTGAACACCTGTGAGCGAAGGCAGGGAGCCGAAGGGCCCAACCGTCCGTCCGAAGGAGATCCGTAGGCAGAGGAAGGATGACAGCGAGGAAGGGTTTTTAACCCCAGGAAGCATTTAAGAACCCCCCCGGCGATATCTTAGCACCGCATTTTTATTCGATATTCCGAGGGGCCGAAATAACCGCACGATAGGTTTAGCACCCGGACACACAACAAATTCGCGGAGGCCTGGCCCCTGGGCTACAATCGAAATTCGAGGAGGAGGAGGAGGAGGAGGAGGAGGAGGAGGAGGGCTCCTGGTGCCAGGTAACGCTTCCAGGGTGCGGAAGGGTTATCGATTTGCCGGAAGGGGGGGTTCTTAAATGCTTCCTGGGGTTATCCCCCGATGCTGCCCGGCCGTGCAGGACTGTGGATCTCCAGTACCTGCGCCAGACCCAGACCCCCGACGTCATGATTTATTCGTGACGTCGACCCCTAGAGGTTTGGACCCATTCCCCAGGACCGGTTTTTCATCCTGAGTAGTTTTTTGACTGCCCCGAGGCCCGGTAGGGGCCCCCTAAAGCTGCAAATATGGAAAAACCTCCCGTCGTGATTTTGTCATGACTCGAGGGGGTCTGGGGAGAGAGGCAGAGCGGCAGGGAACAGCACGGGAGCGAAGAGCGGCGAGATCCACCCACAGCACGGGGCTCTCTTGGCCTCGCCTTGGCCTCGCCCGCCCGGCCGCTGGTCCTCCTCCTCCTCCTCCTCCTCCTCCTCCTCCTCCTCCTTCTCCTCCTCCTCCTCCTCCTCCTCCTCCTCCTCCTTTCCTCCTCCTCCTCCTCCTCCTCCTCCTCCTCCTCCTCCTCCTCCTCCTCCTCCTCCTCCTCCTCCGCCCGCTGGCCGGGCGGCCTCGCCAGGCCGGGCTGCAGGCATGCCCCGGGCCCGGGCCTGGCCTTGGCCTGCTCTGCCCGCCGGCCGGCCGGGCGCCGCCTGCTCGGCTGCTGCTCTGCCCGGGCCTCACGCCGGGCATGTCCCTCTGCAGGGGGGGCCTTCCCAGGAATCTGTAAAAACCATGCTCCTGGCACAACTCCTTTTTGGCCTTCCAGAATATGTAAGACACGCTCTCGTGTCTGTGTTGTTTGCTACCTCCGCAAGGGTTCGATTATGTTTAGATGGGGCCTGTGCCCCTGCACGGGGACTTTACGCGAAAACTTACAACGTACGCAACACGATGCGCCGCAAACGTTCAACAATAGTCAAGCATCGTTCCCCGACGATGCGTTGACCATTCTTGAATGTTCCTCCCGCAGGCCCGACTGCAGATTGCAGCCTTGCTTCCTCCAGAATCCGCCTGCAGGAGGACGTGCCCGGCTGCCCGACCTGACCCTGGCCTGGCCGGCTGGCCTGCAGGCCTGGCGGGTCCCTCCTCTGGCCCGCCCGCGGGCGAGCGGGGCCCTGCGGACGGGGCCGCCCAGGGGGGGGGGCAAACGAAGCCAGGACGAGGACCAATCTTGAGGGTGAGGATGCCTTGATAATCTCTTGGTGGGCCTGTTTTCCACCGCCACCGCCATGGGTAGGAGGGGGAGGGGGTCCTCCTCCTCCTCCTCCTCCCTCCTCCCTCCTCCCTCCTCTCTCCTCCCTCCTCCCTCCTCTCTCCTCCCTCATCCCTCCTCCCTTCTCCCTCGTCCCTTCTCCCTCCTCCCTCCTCCCTCCTCCATGCTCCTCCTCCTCCTCCTCCTCCCTCCTCCTCCTACCTCCTCCTCTACTCTTCCTCCTCCTCCTCCTCCTCCTCCTCCTCCTCCTCCTCCACCACCACCCCTCCTCCCCCCCTCCACATTATGGTGGTGGTGGTGGTAGAAAACAGGCCCATCATCTCTGGGGTCCGGCAAATCTGGAAGATGTCTCGGGCGCCGCGACTTTCTCAAAACGCTCCGAGAACGTGCCGCAACGCTCTGGAACGTCCGGAACGCTCTGAGCGTTCCGCAACGCTCTGGAACGGATATTATATATATAAAGAGAGAGAGAGAGAGAGAGAGAGAGAGGAAAAAAAGAGAGAGAGAGAGAGAGAGAACGAGATCATCGTCCCAGCCCCGCCCGAGGGGGGAGGCTCAACGTTTTTCGCATATTGGCATAGGCTTGCCTTGCATAATCAATCACACTTATCTTGAACAGCATCAGATACAACAACAAAATATGACAGCCCAAGGACCGTTCAAAGAACTTACGATAATCCCCGTGAGGGACTGCCGGGGATCCCCCGAGGAGCTTGCGAGGGTGGTTCAAACAACATTTGCACGCGCGCAGATACCATACGTATGTGCATAAGATATGTATATAGCTATGTATAATAATACATGCGCAACTAAGCAGATCAGCGCAACAAATCCATCACAACGCATAGAGCCCCGAAAAACTTCCGACGAAACCCCGAGGTAACCCACGGGGCGAACAGGGAGGTACTAGATGGCAGCCACCTGACGCTGACGCTGGTGGCATTGATCCATCCAATCATGCTCCCATACCTCCAAGCGGTCGCCCTTGGGGGGGAAGATCAAACCAGGTAGCTGCAAGGTGAAAGGATTGCACGAAAAACGGATCCTTCTCCTCGTCCTCCTCCTTCTGCTCCTCCTTCTTCTCCCTCCCGCTCCTCCCTCCCAGCCAGAGCAGCCGAGCAGCCGCAGAGTCGGCTTGCGACACAGCTCTGGGGATGCGAGGGGGGGAGGGAGCTCGACGACGAGACGAGGCGCCCGACCTCTGGGCACCCGAAGCCGCCCAGGGACAGACTGAGAATCGAAATCAGCCATCCTGACACCAGCGCGAGAAGCCCACAAAGCAACATCCATATCTCTTGAGAACCTGACCCAGACCCCCGACGTAATGTTTTTGTTCCGTAACGTCGACCCCCAGAGGTCTGGACCACTTCCCTGGGACCGATCTTTTCCTCCCGAGTCGTTTTTCGAGGGTCCCGACGCCCAGTGAGGACCCCCGGATGCCGAAAACGAACAACCTCCCGCCGCGTTTGGTTTCGCAACGCGAGGGGGTCTGGGGAGCTTTCTGCTCCTCCTCCTCCCTCCCCCTTCCCTGAAGGGGCCCTGGAACACACAAATAAATACACACAAATAAACATATCCTGCATATTTTCCTATATTTCCTGGGCTTTTGTCTTCCCCCCCACTTCCCATATTTTCCCATATTTTCCTGGGAGTGGACGATTAATTGTGTCTGTGTGTTTTTTCCCCTCCCCCTTCCCCTCTGATCCCGCGCGACCAGCACGGCCGACTGGCCGTTCAGCTCGGGCCGCCCGGTGAGGCCGTGGATGGTGACGCGGTCGCCGGGCCGCACCTCATCTTCGTTCGGGGGGGGGACTGGCAGCCCAGGGAGGGGCCGCGGCCACGAGCAGGAGGTCTGCCCCCCCCAACCCTCCCCTCCCTCCCACCTCCTACCCAGGCAACGACGTCTACATAACAAGAACAGTTGCTTACTGGTAAACCTTTAGACTGAAAGCACTCTAAACAATCCGAACAACCAAACTAATAGCAATATCAGCATTACTAGAAATACATGCAAATACTACGTATGAAACTAAACTGTAGAAACAACACAGCGACAACACGGACAAAAAGACGAAACATGAGAAACGGGAGATGATAAAGTACGTAATGCTAGTAACAATGGTACCAACAGCAACAGCAATACGAATAGCCCGAATAAGAATAATGAAAACGATTGAACTCAAAAGTAGTCGTACTCAGAACAGTCCGATACTACTAATACTAAACATGCTCATCATAATACCAAGAAATGAGAATATAGTAAAAACAAACAAAGTAAAACGTAGTGGCGAAAAACATTACAACAATCATAATGATCAAGTAGTAGCACCCCGCGATTGCAGAGTGAGGGGGCGGGCGCGGGCGACGCGGGCGTCGAGCCAGCGGACCTCGCGGCCCTCACCTGCCCTGTCGATGGCCCCCTCCTCCTCCTCCTCCTCCTCCTCCTCCTGCTCCTACTCCTCCTCCTCTTCCTCGTCCGCGTCCTCGTCCTCATCGTCGTCGTCGTTGTCCGCCTCCTTCTCCTCCTCCTCCTCCTCCTCCTCCTCCTCCTCCTCTTCCTTCCTCCTCCTCCCTCCTCCTCCTCCTCCCTCCTCCTCCTCCTCCTCCTCCTCCTCCTCCTCCTCCTCCTCCTCCTCCTCCTCCTCCTCCTCCTCCTCCTCCTCCTCCTCCTCCTCCTCCTCCTCCTCCTCCTCCCCCATCCCGATCCTTCCCCTCCTCCTTTCCGTCGTCGTCGTCCTCCTCCTCCTCCTCCTCCTCCTCCTCTCCTCCTCCTCCTCCTCCTCTCCTCCTCCTCCTCCTCCTTCCTCCTCCTCCCCTCCTCCTCCTCCTCCCCCTCCTCCTCCCTCCTTTCTCTCCTCCTCTCCTTCCTCCAGCCCCGCCGCAGGCGCCGATGTGCTGTTGAAGAGTCAGCGTGGGCCGGATCGGGGGAATGGCACGAGGGAGCTTGCCCGAACCAATGCGAGCAAGCCCGCCGCAGGCGCCGATTTGCGTGCTCTGACATGTTCAGCGCGGGGGGGATCGCTGGTGGGACAAACGGAACGAATGCAAAAACAGCCCGCCGCAAGCGCCGAATGTTTGGCTTGTTCAGTGAACGTACTTTGGGTCGCGGGTGGGTCGCGGGCTCTTCACCTCCACCTGGAAGGAATTCAAAAACAGCCCGCCGCAGGCGCCGAAAATTTTGATTTGTACACTGAACGCGGATTGGGTCGCAGGTTCTCCACCTGGAACGAATGCAAAAGAAACCCGCCGCAGGCGCCGAAGTTTTGGCTTGTATCCTGAACGCAGTTTGGTTCCCGGGTGGGTCGCGGGCTCTCCACCTCCACCTGGGAGGAATTCAAAAACAGCCCGCCGCAGGCGCCGAACATATTGATTTGTACACTGAACGCGGTTTGGGTAACGGGTGGGTCGCAGGTTCTCCACCTGGAACGAATGCAAAGGAAACCCGCCGCAGGCGCCGAAAATTTTGGGTGGGTCGCGGGTGGGTCGCGGTGGGGCGCGGTTTGGGTCGCGGGCGCGGTTTGGGTCGCGGGTGGGTCGCAGGTTCTCCACCTGGAACGAATGCAAAAGAACCCGCCGCGGCGCGCGAAAATTGTGGGTGGGTCGGGTCGGGGGTCAGGGTGGGTCGCGGGGTCGCGGGTCGCGGGTTGGGTCGCGGGTGGGTCGCGGGTGGGTCGCGGTGGGTCGCGGGTGGGTCGCGGGCGGGTCGCGGGTGGGTCGCGGGGTGGGTCGCGGGGGTCGCGGGTGGGTCGCCGGTGGGTCGCGGGTGGGTCGCCGGGGGGTCTCGGGGTGGGTCGCGGGGTGGGTGGGGTGGGTGGGTCGCGGGTGGGTCGCGGGTGGGTCGCAGGGTGGGTCGCGGGTGGTCGCGGGGTGGGTCGCGGGTGGGTTGCGGATAGGTCGCGGGGTGGGTCGCGGGTGGGTCGCGGGGCGGGTCGCGGGTGGGACGACGACAAGAACAAACAACAAACAACAGAGAACAAGCAACAAACAACAAACACCAAACAACAAACACCAAACACCAAACACCAAACAACAACCACCAACCACCAACCACCAACCACCAACCAACAAACAACAAACAACAAGCAACAAACAACAACCAACAAACAACACAACAACACAACATCAACAACCACAACAACCACAACAACAACAACAACAACAACAACATCAGTAACAACAACAACCACAACAACAACACCACCAACAACAACAACAACAACAATACAACAACAACACAACAACAATAACACAACCAATAACAACAACAACAACAACAACAACAACAACAAAAACAACAACAACAACAACAACAACATCAACAACATCAACAACAACAACAACAACAACAACAACAACAACAACAACAACAACAACAACAACAACAACAACAACAACAATAATCCGCATCGCGGAATTCCACTTCAGTCACGCACCCAGGGACAGTGAATGACCACTCGGTTCAGCCCCCATCACTCTGATGATAGAACAACCCCTCGGCCCGCAGAGTGCGGGTATCTCCGCATCTCCGCATCTTCGAGCTCAGGCAGGAGCTGGCAGGGGCCGAGCGCGGCTGAACGGTAGAACCGCGCTGGCATCGGCAGCGCCACACTGTCGGGGCCAGGGGGTCAGCTGATGGCCGGGGACGGCAAACCGTGCGCGGCTCAGGCTGCGCCCGGCAGCAAAAACCAAAAGGTCTCCATCCCCCCCCCCCGTCCTCAACGCTGGGTTCAGCCTGGCCCCCTCCCCCCCTCTCCGTCCCTCCTTCCCTCCTCCTCCTCCTCCTCCTCCCTCCTCCTCTTCCTCTTCCTTTTCTTCCTCCTCCTCCTCTCCTCCTCCTCCTCCTCCTCCTCCTTTCCCCTCTCCTCCTCCTCGTCGGTGACCTCGGTGACCGATGCGCGCCTGGTCACTCCACGAGCAACCGACGCCCAACAACAAAGAGAGCACATCACAAGACCGGCCCAATCGGGAGGGAAGGGGGAACACGGGGCGGGGGGCGGGAGGGGGAACACGGGCAGGGACGAAAGGGGAAATGATTGGCCGAGCCTGCGAATGCTGGCCAGGACCTCACCCTCAAGAGCTTCGACCTCTCCGAGCTCTTCTTGGGGTTGGCACAATGCTTGCGAAGCTTCTCGCTACCCCTACAGGAAGCGAAAGCCCCAAACAATGTAAAGAAATTATCCTGGCGAGGGACCCAACCATGTGCAGTTGTGAGTGACGCAGTTGTGAGCATCGACCTCGGTGAACATCTCTGCGGTCACGACGCGTGTGACGGGGTGCGCCAAAATTGGCACGGGTACGCCATGCGGACGCTGCCACCAGAGCCCTCGGTGGAGCACCCTATGGGGCCGCGGAACGTGCAAGGGGTGCGCCGAAATGGGGGTGGAACTGCATGCGGACCCTGCCACTGGGGCCTTCGGCGGAGCACCCTATGGGGGCCACGAAACGTGTGAGGGGTGCGCCGAAATGGGGGTGGAACTGCATGCGGACCCTGCCACTGGGGCCTTCGGTGGAGCTCCCTATGGGGCCGCGAAACGTGTGAGGGGTGTGCCGAAATGGGTGTGGAACTGCATGCGGACCCTTCCACTGGGGCCTTCGGCGGAGCACACAATGGGGGCCACGAAACGTGTGAGGGGTGCGCCGAAACGGGGGTGGAACTGCATGCGGACCCTGCCACTGGGGCCTTCGGCGGAGCTCCCCATGAGACCACGAAACGTATGAGAGGTTCGCAGAAATGGAGGTGGAACTGCATGCGGACCCTGCCACTGGGGCCTTCGGCGAAGCACCCTATAGGGGCCACGAAACGTGTGAGGGGTGCGCCGAAATGGGGGTGGAACTGCATGCGGACCCTGCCACTGGGGCCTTCGGCGGAGCACCCTATAGGGGCCACGAGACGTGTGAGGGGTGCGCCGAAATGGAGGTGAACTGCATGGAGCTATGGGGCCACGACCCTGCACTGGGGCCTTCGGTGGAGCTCCCTATGGGGCCACGAAACGTGTGAGGGGTGCGCCGAAATGGGGGTGGAACTGCATGCGGACCCTGCCACTGGGGCCTTCGGTGGAGCTCCCTATGGGCCACGAACGTGTGAGAGGTGCGCCGAATGGAGGTGGAACTGCATGCCCTGCCACTGGGGCCTTCGGCGGAGCACACTATGGGGCCTCGAAACGTGTGAGGGGTGCGCCGAAATGGGGGTGGAACTGCATGCGGACCCTGCCACTGGAGCCTTCGGCGGAGCACCCTATAGGGGCCACGAAACGTGTGAGGGGTGCGCCGAAATGGGGGTGGAACTGCATGCGGACCCTGCCACTGGGGGCGGAACTCCCTATGGGGCCACGAAACGTGTGAAGGGTACGCCGAAATGGGGGTGGAACTGCATGCGGACCCTGCCACTGGGGCCTTCGGTGGAGCTCCCTATCGGGGCCACGAAACGTGTGAGGGGTGCGCCGAAATGGGGGTGGAACTGCATGCGGACCCTGCCACTGGGGCCTTCGGTGGAGCTCCCTATCGGGGCCACGAAACGTCTGAGGGGTGCGCCGAAATTGGGGTGGAACTGCATGCGGACCCTGCCACTGGGGCCTTCGGCGGAGCACCCTATGGGGGCCACGAAACGTGTGAGGGGTGCGCCGAAATGGAGGTGGAACTGCATGCGGACCCTGCCACTGGGGCCTTCGGCGGAGCACCTTATGGGGCCACGAAGCGCTGTACTCGGTGGGTGAAACGCAGGGAGAGGAGCAGGAGGGAGGAGGAGAGGAGGAGGAGAAGGACGCGGGGCACCGTCTCTTCAAAACGAGG